GTACCATGGACTTACTCTGATTTCCTCCATATGGATAAATTCTTACCAAAATGTGTACCTTCTTTGAATTTCCTTTGATTATTTATCTTCAATTTCTAACCATGTTTGCATTTCAGAGAAATATTCCATGTATCCGATCATTTTAGTACAAGAAAGATTACTCATAGATAAAACTGTGTTACCATGAAGATTAAAAAATGTGTATTTTGACAGATAAATTTACTCCATTCATCTGAAGAAATAGCCTTGATCCATGCAATCTTTGACAGAATAAAAATAAATTTGCTTTAAAAGACTCATCAGTGTCTTTATTATTATTATAGAAACAAACTGCTGCATGAGACAAACTTTTTTAGCTTCCAGTTTTAATTAATTTCACTCAAATAACTCAGTGACATTTAGATAATTTGCAACATATTTCCCTTAAGGTTGGCTATAGTTATGACATTTCGGTCTGGTGGGACTTGAAGGTCAAAGTTTATGTAAGATATCAGGTAGCGTATTGTTTACACAGTTGAAATGCTATAATTAAGAAGGAGAGCATAGCCTAATATTTTGCAATAGGCAATCACTCCCCCATATTAAATGTTCCAGTTGACAGCTAACATCTATGGTTTTTGTTCTATGGAAAGTTGCAGGCCTGACTGAAGTCCAGGAATGTAGAATGGCTACTCCCACACCACCAAACAATACATACATTGGTCTAAATCAGTATTCAAACTTGTCACCTTATAGGGGAGATGGGTGACATAAAAATTAATAAATAAAATTTACATCATCATCATTTTAGCCATTGTTTATCCACTTCATGATGAAGGTCTCTTCTGCATGTTTCCAACCAATTTTCCAAACATGGAAAATTTACATACATTCCTCTAAATCAGTATTTCTCAATCGTGGCAGCTTGAGATATATGGATTTTTGGGCTAGGGAATTCTGGGAGTTGAAGTCCACACATCTTAAAACTTATCAAGATTGAGAAACCTTGCTTCCATTTAGCTTAAAATGTATTAGCAGTTTCTTCATCAGAGTCCACTGGGCATTTTCCAGCTCTAGTTAACACAGATGATCAACTCTGCAACTAGCAACTGTATATGTTATCAATAAAGAGAATAGATAGCTCAGGGTTGAACTGTGAAGTCCTTGATGCTCTCTGAGCTTGGTTGTTTGTTTGCAGACATAGCCAACCAGATAATAACAGTGCAAGCATGTGTGGTGTTTACTCCTTGTTTATATAAAGTAGTTTGCCCTGTGAATGTTGGTGGAGGTGTGATTTTCTTCTTGGTAGTTCCCTGAATTCAAGGAACTACCTTTAAGCATATTTTCTGTTTGATAGTTTGTAGAAGAGCCAAGGTGGCGCAGTGGTTAAATGCAGCACTGCAAGCTACTTCAGCTGACTGCAGTTCTGCAGTTCGGCTGTTCAAATCTCACCGGCTCAGGGTTGACTCAGCCTTCCATCCTTCCGAGGTGGGTAAAATGAGGACCCGGATTGTTGTTGGGGGCAATATGCTGACTCTGTAAACCGCTTAGAGAGGGCTGAAAGCCCTATGAAGTGGTATATAAGTCTAACTGCTATTGTATGTGTTAATCTCTGCTTAATTCAGTTGGCTACTGAAGAGGATGTGTTCTGGTTGTTTTGTTTGCTGCCTATCTTTTTTATGGTCTCTTTTGAATGGTGTGTAAATGTGTCTGCTTTTTATCTCTATGTGCCTGTTGGTGACTGATATGCTTGAGTGACAAGTTTCTAGCAATAACTTAGCATTTTTGCATTTAGCGTGGCCTAAGATACTGACCATTTCCCAGTTGAAAATGTGGTTGAGAATGTACATGTATTGTGAATAAAATGAGATTGAGTAAAATGTCAGGTAGTGACATGTGTAAATTACTTTCTTCTTAGGCCAACAGTAAACAGAATCTGAGAATACATGAGCTTTACACAAGTGTCAAAAGTATCTTGTTTTACTGTTTCTGGACAGTGAAGCTAATTAAATCAGTAGATTTTTAAAATCATAACAGATATAGTTTCTTTCTTTTGCTATTCTTTTCAATATTTGTTCCTTATTTTTCTTTGTAACCTTGTAAATAGGTCATTTCGGTTAGGTACTTTTCTTATTTAATATTCCATTGTATTTCTTCATAATCTCAATTTAGGACTTCATGAATATGAGCATTGAAGCCAAAATTATAATTGGGAATCAAATTTGTAATAGTTATAGGAAAACTTTGTCCTTTGTTTATATAACAACACAAAGGTGGTTTAGCTGCTGTACCTTTAATATCATTTTTTATTATCAGTTCCTATTATCTTTTGGTGACCAGAAGACATTGTATTTGTATTTTTCCACTTGTAGAAACTTAATGTTTTGTACATGTCCTGCTTCTGTAAGAATTATTTTCCTAGATTCTGGAGACAATTAGACACAAGTGGACACAAGTGAAATGACAAAACTGCCTCTTCACATGAATGAATGAATGAATGAATGAATGAATGAATGAATGAATGAATATCCAAAATTTTCCACTGTAATTTCCATGAATCGGTTCTAAATGGAAAATAGTTTAATTGCTGAAATATTTGTAACACATCTCTTCTCAAATAAACCTTGTTAAAGAGACTTCTACACATCCCTCTCACTTGCACTTGCAGCTTATTACTGGAACTATCAACAAGGGACAAATTTGAGTAGTTTTCTAGCTGAGAAGAGAAAGCTTAAATCACTCTTCCTTGAATACCATTGGACTTACTCCAGAGTAAAATAGAGAAATACATTCTGAATGATTAAGATGTAGTTAAATACTTGTTTCAAGACTTTTTCAAACATAGTTTATTTTGCACTCCTCACATATTGGAATGGCCTTGGAATAAATTTAATCATAACAACTTCTCTCTAAGTAGTCCATGTTGTTTTCTTGGCAACAACGTGGAAGTTGCAACTGTTTTCTGCTGGGATTTATTTTTAAGCTTCTCAATTCAGGCTACAGCCCCGGAATTTTGAGCCAGATTTCAGCCAGCCTTTTTTAACATCAGTCAAACTCAGTTCTATAGTACTACTTGTTCAGACCTTGCTATAAATAGAAGAGAATAATCAACATTAAGTTTCCTACAGCAAATAGGATACAATTGATCTATCTTGACGTGGAGAAATTAAGTAAACTTAATGGGGAGTTTAATAATTGTGAGTCCTCATGCTTCAATGCAGGAGGATGTGCTTCATTTTGTAGCTATCAAATAATTAGGACACGGGTGTCAAACTCGCATGTCACATTGCCATCACACAACGTTTCACGTTCCATTCAGGGACTGGAGTGGGCATGGCCTGGCCGGGACACATCTGGCCTGTGGGCCACCAGTTTAACACCTCCGGTCTAGGATAATACATTGGGGGGGGGGATAATATCCTATTAAACCTTATTGAAGATGCTATTTGTTTCAGATACCTATTTAATTGCAGTGAAGCAAACAAATGTTTATTCCATAGCCTTTGGTAACTTAAGCTTGATTAAACACAGAGGCAGAAATCAATTAAAAATGTATGTCCTGTTGGCTAAGAACCTTTTCCATTTTTTTAAACATCCAAATTTGTATAGCTAATTATGCAAAAAAAAAAAAACCAACCAAAAGAACATCCAACGGATAGTCAGCCTGCAGCAAAAGCTTTCACAGTAATGAATATTTTGAAATATGAATGTTTTCAGAAGTTTTTTGTATATTAATAAACATGTGGTTGTGATAAATTATATTTATAAGTGTGTCAGTCAGGAAAACATTTTATTTCTTTCATATCTTTCGCTTTATTATGTTCTTAGGAATTATAATTAATGAGTGCATAAAAGACATAAAGGAGGTCTTATAAGTGACAGCAGAAGACTTGAACTAAGCTTCATTTTGGCTACCAGAAGAGCAAAAGAAAAGATGAAATAATGATCTGGTATATCAGACAAATAACATTCACACCCATCAGTTATAGTGCAGTGTTCCATAGAATCATCTTAACTGTTACCCACGAAGAATAGAAAATATATAACCCTGCTTAAAAAAAGAAGACAGTTCAAAAACCAATTAACTTACAGTAAAATCATTGGAACAATTCCTTGACTGGAATCTCTTTTCCAGTATAAATTAATTGAATTTGGATTAATTAAAAAAGCAAATTGCTATTTTAGGCAATATTAAAGCCAAAGAAATCCTGATCATCCCTTCATTAATTTTCATGATTTCTCTAGGATTCCAAGCACATTACATCCAGTGACTGGCTGTATCATCATCACTCTTATTTTACATATTTTTGAGTAATTTTTGTTGTGAAGATTGATTAGTAAAAACATGAATAATTCACAATCCATTGTCATTTCAGATAAACAGTTTCCTTAGTTTTATTAGCTCTACTGTGTAACCTACAGGTAATTCTTGACTTACAGCTAGTGGTGGGTTTACATTTTTTTTACTACCGGTTCCCTCATGCGTGCACCTTGCGCAATGCTTCTGCGCATGCGCAGAAGTATCCAAGTGGGTGAGCCTAGCCTCCTGCTGCCGTCACTACCAGTTTGCCCGATCCGGGAGCAACCCACCTCTGCTTACAACTATTCGTTTAGTGACCATTCAAAGTCACAACAGCAATGAAAAATATGACTTACAACCAGTCCTCATATTTACAACCAACCCAACATCCCCGCATGATCACAGTTTGGTTGTTCATGTATTTAAAATGGCTGCAGCATCCTGGAATCACGTGATCGCCATTTGCAACCCTTCCAGGTGGCTTCTCATAAGCAAAATCAATGGAAAAAGTTGGATTTGCTTAAAACTGCGTGACTCACTTAGCAACTGAAATGATTCACTTAACAACCATGGCACAAAAGGTCATGAAATTGGGCATGACTCATTTAACAACTGCATTGCTTAACAAAGAAATTCTAGTCTCAGTTGTGGCTGTAAGTCACTTGACGTCTCAGAGTAATTGAACTAACATAGTACCATATTTTCTTTGCCCCTCTCTTAGAAGTAGAAGCTTGTCTCTTCAGATATGGGCGAAGTGGAGCAAAGAGCGACAACAGGATCTCGGCTAGGAGTACAGGAGAATGCTGGCATCAGTACTCTGGAACATGGACAGAAACTGCCTTCAACACCTACAGGAAAACTTATTTCTATCAAAGTCCAAATGCTGGATGATACACAGGAAACATTTGAAATTCCGGTAAGGTGATACTCTTGAGTCTACATTCTTGGCTGGGGGTAAGGCGAGCGCAAAAGATTCACCCAAGCAGATCTGCCACTAGTTTTGTGACTTTGTATAATGTGATAATAGCCCACATATGAGAGAAGTATTAAAAATCCTAATATTTAAAAGGTAGTTAAAATTGCAATAGGGGTACATTATCTCATATATTCCTGGTATCACAAACTATTTAGGGGGAAAATACTCTTCAAACTGCTATTAATAATTTAAATCACAATCTTTTAACACTAACTGAAACTATCAGTTGCAATATACACTACCATAAACTAATTAAGAATTATGAAATAACTGAATAATTCGCCTCACAGAGGAAAAAAACCCAATACTAACAACTTCAGTTATTTCACTTCAACTGTTCTGTAGATACTCTAAAGGTAATTTTGATCTTACATTTTAAATCTTAAGTATTGTAACTAAATAAGGTGATTGCATTCTAATACTAGTGCATTACCATTTGTTTGATTTTCTTTATATATTTTGAGAATTTCTTTGCAACAGAATGTGCCTATCTTTAATTGCCTGAAATCACTGATTTTTAAAAGTTATTTGTCCATTAAATCCATCTTGTCTCTGGCAGCTCAAGGCTGTATATAATAACTCTCTTGCAAAACCTACAGTAGATCTGTGAGATAATATAGCAGGAAAAATAAATGTCAATATTTATGCTGGGGAAGTTAGGACTGACTTTGATTAAGATGCATATTATATATATGAGAGGGATTTCTGAATTGCTAAGATGTATTCTTTTATATTCTCCGTTAAAGAGAAAGCATCCCTATGATAATTGCTGAGCATAGCAGAATTAATCAAAGAACTAACAGATTTTATATCTGTTTTAAACAAGCTTAGCTTTGGTAATCATGTTTTCATATTATGAAATTTACTGTCATTTTTAATATGTTATATGATCCATTATGCCATAAGATTTTAGATTTTATTCTCTATCTCAGTTAAATGTTATGCTCAAACAAGCATCTGCAAAAAAAAGAGGTAGCTGCTATATTGATGAATTACTTGATCCATTGTCATCCAGTACTCACAAGGACATTCACTTCATTATTATCCTACATTAGTCAAGCAAAAGTCAACAATTGTCATTAGTAGAAAATCTGTGTTGCTTGTACCTTGATCGGTTGCTCATAAATGCATTCTCCTGATCTACCGTGTTTTCCCAAAAATAAGACAGGGTCTTATTTTCTTTTGACCCCTGAAATAAGCGCTTGGCCTTATTTTGGGGGAAGTCTTATTATTTTTGAGGTGCAGGAGGCAGAATGTGTGGCTTCTGCTGTGTTGCAATATTTTGGGGGAGGGCTTATTTTCAGGGGAGGATTTATTTTAGTGCATGCACTCAATAGCCCGATTAGGCTTATTATCCGGAGAGGTCTTATTTTCAGGGAAACAAGGTACAAGTTCAGATTTTTTCCCCTATTCATAAAGACTCTTCTGCATTTTGTCACCCTGAGCAATAGTATATAAT